AGAATAAAATCATGGCATTTGCAGGGAAGTGGATGGAGTTGGAGAATATAATGCTAAATGAAGTAAGCTAATCCCCAAAAACCAAAGGCTGAATGTATTCTCTGATATAAGGAGGCTGATTCATACTGGGGTTGGGAGGGGGATCATGGGAGGAATAGACAGACTCTAGGCAGGGAAAAGTGGAGGAGCAAGAGGGTAAGAAAAAGATGGTGGAATTAGATGGACATCGCCACCTAAGTACACATATGAAGAAGACAGGAATGGTGTGAATATACTTTGTATACAAGCAGAAATGTGAAAAATTGTGCTCTCTATATGTAATAAGAATTGTAATGCATTCTGTTGTCATATATAATATTAGAATAAAAAAAATATTGGGGGCTTGTTCAAAGCAGCCTTTAGTAAAGTAAATACACTTCCCTGTATTAAGAATTCTTCACACTCTGCTTGGCAAGGATGCAAACTATACCCAGCCTGAGCGAGCCCTGGAAATTGTTCTATGTATTTCTTTCTGATTAATATTTTTTCTGGCATTAGGTAGTTTCCTCTCAAGCATGTATAGATCAGTGCTCTGCCAAAGAGGCAGGACCTTTTCTGTGTAGGTTAGTCCTGTCTTCCCCAAAATACCAGTTGCTGTAGCTTACTGATTCTTCCACTTTGTCTGTTCAGCTGAGGGAGAGCAATGATGCTACCTGGGTTTTCCCAACCTGGTGCTGTAGTCTGAATAATGCCTCCAGCAATAAGTTGGGACATCTGTGGGGCTCGCCTCAGTTGTTCCTTTCTCTCATTGACGGCAGCCCTTAGCTGCCTGTTGTCCAATGTTTGATAAATGAGTTTTTTTGTTTTTTCAATTTACTTGTCTGGTTTTCTAGTTATGTGAGACAGGAGAGTGGAATTGGGTGTAACCATTTCTGTTGCTCTGTATGTGGGTGCTTTGAGCTTGTAGGAGAGCTGCACTCTACCTTGTGAGGCCCTTGATATACCAGTTTATATCTCTCTGACTCTCTAGGCCAGGGTTTCTCAAGCTCAACACTATGAAAATTCTTGGTTGTGGGGGATTTACTGTGCATTGTAGAATATTTAGCAGCATCTCTGGCCTCTACCCACTAGATTAATAGGCCCCACCCTGGATGTGACAGCCAAAATGTCTCCAGACATTGCCAAATGTCTCCTGGAAGCCAAAATCATCCCTAGTAGAGAATCTGGTTTTGGCCACAAAGTCCCCATCCATACCTTCCATGGAGAAGATGCTTTTCTGTTTCCTGGACTCACATACAGAGGTGTGCTCTTCCAACCAAAGGTGTGCTTCACCAGGAAGACATCTCACTGGTCAACATATCCAGTGATTTCATGACGTTAAATGGTTTTGTTCTGATGATGTTGAACATGGGTGGAAGACTGAACCTGAAGAATAAGATCACTATTTATACATCAGTTTAAGGTGAAGAGGATATAACAGAAAGGGGCTCATTTTATCAGTAGGAATGTCCTGGAATCTACGAGGTATTTCCTAAAGGAAGTATTGGTAAGTATTGTGGAAATAAATTTCTCAGTGATTTTTTTTTCTGGATGGCTTTGTAACAAATATGATTTATAGTGGTCCTTATCATTTGTATCTGGAAAATATGCCATCAATGCTGAGAATAACAGATTTCTATGAGTGTTCTAGAGACCAGTGCTCCTTAAAATGATCAATGAATATAACCATTACTATAAACACAAAGACAAATAGGAATCTAACCAACAGTTAACAAACCTCAAGGAAGTCAAAAAAACTATTTACTATTAAATAGCGGTAACTTTCTTTTAATATTGAATATTAAAAAGATTATTTAATCTTCCTTTTAAATCTTTCTCCTGCATCTTTGATATCTTTAATCTATTAGATAGTTGATTATTTCTCTGTTTTTGAAAAATTGCACAATCTATTTTCATTGAAGAGAAAATAGAACTTACAAGTAAGCAAAAAGGAAATACCATAAGACAATCATGAGCGATAAATATTCTTATCTCTTTGGGGTTCATCCTTGCAAATAGACTTTTATCTCTCTCCTTATCTATGTATGTCCACATCCCCATCCATCTTTTCAAAACAAATTGAGATCATGCTATTATAAGTTCTTGTAACATGTTTTAAAAAATACCATATATTACACATCTTTCTACACTGATAAACATGGAGCTATGTAATCTTTAAAACAAAGGCTTAGTATTCCATGAATGGACCATACTTTACTCAATCTGATACTATTGGACCCTTATACAGGCTCTGAATTTTGTCATTATAGGCAAGACAGTGATGGACATGTAGGTATATACAGCCCCATGTGCTCTTCTAATCATTATTTAGGACACTGAAATATGATCTCTGCTTATTTCCAGAGTAAGATCCATTTATAAGGCATACTTCTTTTTAAAAAGTTCCAAACAAGTGTCATGATAATCGGTAAGATTATTCGGTAAGAGTCAGAAAGGAAATTTGTGAAAGCTGAATGCCAAGAAATGGGGAAACTCCCTTTGCCTCAAGAGGCCAATGATGTACTTAAAAGAGGAAGTCCTGTGTTCCTAATGGAGTCTTCAATTTTGATTTCAGCTTGCTTGTTATACAAATAACAGACAAGAATTTCTAAAAATGGAAAAGATGACAGTCACCTATTGCATTTGTTTTCTATTGCCATAAAACAAATTACCAAAAGCAGAGTTAAAATATAAAATTTATTATCTCACAGTTTCTGTGACTACCTCACAGGACTCTGGGCCCAGTTTAGCCACACCCTCTGTTCAGGTGACCTGCTTTCTTTCCAGGCTGGCAGGAGCTCTCGCTTCCTTCATCTCCAGTCTCCAGGAATCTCTGAAGAGCTCTACTGATTAGATCGACCCAGGACAATCTTCTAATAGATTAACTTAACCAACGAGGGGTCTTACTTATATCTGCAAACGTTTATTTTGCTGTTTTATGTAACGTAGCTCTAGGGGCGATGTTTGATCATATTTATAGGTCTTGCAACCCTCAAGGGAATGAGATTTTACAGGGCATGTCCACCAGGAGCTGGGAATCTTCAAGCCCAACGAAGAATTCTGTTTACCATATTCACAGTTCTAACTCTTTTAAAAATATTATGTTTTGTATTTTGGGTTTTTTTTTTAGATTTTTGTCACCTTTATTCTTTCAAAAAGTAGTTGAAACTATAGTGCTTAACACCACTGAATCTTTTATTTCCATCCTAATAATTTTCCAGTGAGTTAGTACAGGGCTGGGGTTGTTGCTTAGCTGTGGAGCACTTGCCTAGCATGTGTGAAGTCCTGGGGTGAAAAATATATATAT